TCAGCTCTGTGCCTCTGCCCAGCACTGCTGTGGAGCTTCCAAAAGTGCTGGATTTCATCCAGGTGAATAGGAGTGGATGATGGGAGGCGGACTGGGGTAATCCTCTCAGCAATACTGTAGCCCCAGACTCATTTCAGGTTATATCCAAGAGGGTGAGGGTTAAATAAAACAGCAAGGTGATTTCCTGCGTTTCCCTTAGGCCCGTAAAGGCAACAGCAATGCTCTCAACCAGGGATCAGTTATTCTCTCCCACCCCCGCTGGCAAGCCCATTCTAAGCACCAGCGCATCGAACCAGCCCTCCCACAGCCGTCATTCGACAGCTGTGCTCACTCACCAGCTTCCCTGGATTCTCAGATTAACCCAGCCTTCTGGGTTCACGCAGCCGTGAACTGAACCCACGGGCTGGGTTCATGCAGCACCCTAGACTACAACGAGACAGGTCACTTTCTGGTTCGGTGTGCCATGCGAACCCAGCCCTCACACAGAGCCAGTGAGCTGTAGAGCAACCGTGAGGCTTTCTCCCGGGAAAAGTCTACATCTGCGGAGGCCTAAAAAGGCCTTCTGAAAATGTGCCTTTGGGTGACAACAGGAAACAAACCTGGGGCAGCACCAGGGTGAACTCAGCTGCCAGGCCCAATTTCAGAATTTCTCGGATGGCTGGTTGGTTCCGCCTTGGCCGGCTGCACTCAGAGAGAGCGAGGGAGGGATCGGTTGGCCCTTAGCCTGGCCAGCCAGGGTGGCTGCAGGGTTTGCAAGTGTGGGGTGCCTGGGGGGTTGATTTTCCTTCCTGTTGCCAGAGGTGGGTAAGAGACGGACAATGGGGTTGCAGCTCTGCCAAAGCCTCACCCTGCTCAGAACAGCCTGGCCTTGTGGGAATGACAAACAAACCAGATTTAAGGCTCCATTGTCACATACCAGGGTCAACCTCCGTCCACCTGACCGGGCTGGCAGGGAAGCGTTGGCACGCCAGGCATAATCTTTGTCTTCCAGAATCACCCAGCCATGTCAGATGTGGAATTTGGACGGATGTCTATGAAGGAGCCCGAGCTGGATGGCAAACGCAGCCCGGCCCAGCCCCACTGGTATGAGCGCTACCTGCAGCCTTGCATCGGGGAGCTGGTGGGCTCAGCGTTCTTCATCTTCATCGGCTGCGCTTCGGTCATTGAGAACTCGGAGGGCACGGGGAGGCTACAGCCAGCCTTGGCGCATGGATTGGCACTGGGGCTCACCATTGCCGTCTTGGGGAACATCAGGTGAAGGAAGGGGCAGCAGTGGGCTTTGGGGAGGGGGCGTGGTCCTGGTCAGGGTCAAGAAGGTCTTGGCAAAGCTTGAAGCTAGCAAGTTATCCATGAGGGAGAGATGGAGGAGGCTAGGGCACACAGCGGGAGGAGGGGTCAACTCAGACAGATCCATCCTCCAGATAATGCCTCCAGGGAAGGGAGGCAATGAGATCATCAGGAAGCAAAATCTAAGGGGGGGGGGGTCTGCAGGTGAGGCACATAAGCTGGAGGGACGGGAGTTCCAGGGACGAGAGTTCCTTGAACCTCTTCTGGCATTGCTCCTGCTGGCTCCACCTGTTAGAAGGATGAAGAGGAGACCTTTGCTCAGAAGCTACACTCAATTAAACTCTAGTTGTCCTAGACTGGAGTAAGCAGACTTCTGGCTGGTTACTGAATCTATCTTACTATCTTCAAGTAAAACTTGAAAATCCAACTGCTCCCCCAGCAAAGGAAAATTAACTTTTAACACTACTTTGATTTAAGCATCCTTTTTATAAAGAGTTGGCTCCCAGCAGGTGATCCATCCTTTCCATCCAGTGGGAGAGGTGCTTAATAAGGGCATTTCCTACTTGCGCATGACTAGTGTGCATTTTCTGTCAACAGAAATTGCTGGTAATTTTAACAACAATACCTAATGATAGGTATAAAGCTTTCAAGGGCTCAAAGGGCTTCATATAGATTATTCTAGATGTAACCCTCACAACAAGCTATTAAGTAAATCATCCCATATTGCAGATGAGTTGCCTGGGGCTGAGAGAAGGGGCAGCCTTGGGAGGGTCACCTGCCTAAGGCTATCTATCTGAATCTTCTTGGGCGCCAAAAGTCCTCAACCTGATGGCTCACGGATTAGCTAAATGGGAATGGGTTTCATGCAAAACCAACTCTTTGGCTCCCTTGCTCCTAGGAACGGGCACTTGGATGGGGACAAGTGGAAACTAACCCTCAGAGTGCCAGAGCAGCAGAGGCTCATCTCTCCACTTGTTCTTCCTGACTTCTGCTCTGTCCATGTCTAAGTCTGCACTGCAGCTGTCTGAATTGACCGGTCCGCAGCCTCAGTCTTCTTCTTCTGCATTTTTACACTCTGCATCACTCCTTTGGGCCCAGTTTTTAACAGAGCCCCTACCCTGGATATTTCTTGCTTTCAAGCATATTCTTAAAAGCCAGGGGTTTAGCTAGTTCAACCTGTGGCCATCTTTCGTCCATGATTTTAAGGCAATTTAAATAAGAAAGAACAACAGAGACATGCACAATAGCCAGCAAATAAATGTACAGTGGACATCACAGAGTGTAAAATAGTTTAGCCAGTGAAAAGGTTTTAAATGCTTGGCTACCTTTTTCACGAGGCTCTGTTTCAACGCTGGTGCCAGGCAGACTTGCTGGCGAGAGCCATTCCAATCTCGGAACCCCCCAGGACCCCCAGTCCAGGACCCCTGCTCGGGAAGTCCTGCTCTGCTGGGACAGAAAAGGTGACCTGTGGGGAGTGATATGGGCAGGAGATGGTCAGGTTAGAATGTTCCCAGTTTTATTTCAACAGGCTGAGGGAGCCCTCCTGTAAGAAGGAAGGGCGTGTGCCTATGGCCTGTCGCCTGGCCTCGCCACCCTGGCCAACTCGGATGGCAGCGTGTGACCCGTGGAGGATTTCCCACGCAAACCCCTCTGAAAAGAGCCAAGCTGCACTGTCAAGAGGGAATTCCTTCTTCAACCCCTTCCCCATTCTTCTCCACTCATTCTTGAGTTGGCAGAAAACGAGACCAACTTGAGATCGGCTGTCATTTGTTGATCCTCTTTCTGCTGCCCCAATGCCCAGTCATTGCTGGTCTCTAAGGGGTTGAATGGGCCACCAAGCCGACAGATCTTAGACATGGCGAGGCTGCCCTCGCAGGTGTCGGAACAGGACGACCTGCGCCTGTCCCGCTCCTGAACCGGAGGCCTGTTTACGCCCTGGGAAGGTGCACGTAGAAGTGCCAGGTGGGGAAAGGCCATTAATGGCAGAAGCAGAGCCCAGTGCATCCTATGGTGGAGTCTCACACCAGTCAGAAATGTGGACTTGGAGTTTCCACTGATTTTTCTTTCACTAAATGAAGCCAGAAGTGGCCTGAACAAAGGGAATAATTCCATGACAAGGCAGCTGAAGTTTTCTCCTCCAAATTTCTTGACTTTTGCTCCCTGCCAGCCGGCAATGATGTGATTTGACATCCTGTTTCTCCCAGGCAGTCCTCTGACCAAAGGTTTCTCTTTCCCTCTTTCTGCCTGCAGTGGAGGTCACTACAATCCTGCCGTTTCCCTGGGGGCATGGCTTGTTGGGGGGCTGAACATGATGATGGTCATTCCATACTGGATCTCCCAGCTGTGTGGAGGAATGATTGGGGCTGCCCTGGCTAAGGTATGGCCGAGGACTGGGATGGTGGGGGGAGGGGGAGAGCACTTTGGGTGGAGATGGGCAGCTTCCCACCAAGGATGGCGTCAGCCTTCCCAGGTAGACCAGACAGGAAACACGGCCAGATGAGCTAATCTACTTTATTGTAAGGCTGCATTAACGGAATCTTGCAAGTCTGAAAGTACTTCTCTCCCCCTGTCCCCTTTACAGCCCCAAAACCAGGGAGGGTCCTTCCTGAGCCTCTTGCCCTGCCCATATTCCTGCTGCTGGCTAAGCCACCTCTTATCTTATCCATGCAAAACCCCCTGAAAAGAACCAGAGTGAGCTAATATGGCCCACGTGGGCACGAAAGCGCACCTCTTGGTTGACGCTTGGGTTTTTAAAGTGCCCTTCATGCTGACCCTCTTTACTTACCCAACCAAATGCACTATGAAGGCTGGGAGGTGGGATGTCTGCCTTCCTGTCCTGCTCTGGTGTCTAGTCCTTCAGCCGGAAGCCCCTTGAGGCAGCAGTTCTGGATCCAGGCCTTCGTCTCTGCTCCAAACCTTCATAGGAGGAGGCGCATCTTTTCCGCTGGTTCCAGGATGGATTTAGGGTGCCTGAAACTACCAGCCTTCAATGTGAAGCCAAGAAGATATCCCACATCTTTGTCCAGTGGTAGAGCAGCCACTCGGTCTTAAGAACCTCAAATCCTCCTGGGCACCTGTGTGTGAGCCAGACTAGGCTTAAACGTCCACAGTTTCTTTGTTTGGGCAGAAGAGATGATGTGGGCCCAGCTGTTGTGCTTGGTTAATCTAGGTTCATCAGTTTGTGATCCGCCCTCTTTGACGTCTGTCTCAGGTGACGACGACGTGGGAGAGGTATGAAAATGCCACGGGAGCAGCCTTCACTGCTATTTCCGCAGACCATCAGCTCCCTGCTGCTGTGGTGGGGGAGATTGTGATGACCATGTTCCTGGTGCTGGCTGTCTGCATGGGTGCCATTAACGAGAAAACCAAGAGTCCACTGGCACCCTTCTGCATTGGCTTCACAGTAACGGTGGACATCCTGGCGGGGTGAGTTGACCAGAAAGCTGGCAAGTTCTGCCCAGTCCTAAGAAGAAGTTGTGT